GCGCTGCGATGCTGGTGGCCCGGGTTCGGATCCCGGGTGCGCATCGAGGCACCACTTCTCCGTTCATCCTGAGGCCGAGTCCCGCATACAGCAACTAGAGGGATGTGCAGCTACAACATACAACTATCCACTGGGGCTTTGGGGGGAAAAAAAATAAAAGAAATAAAATCTTTAAAAAAAAAAAAAAGAAAAAGATAATGTTTGTAAAGCACTTAGGTAATGTCTGGCATATGGCAAGCACTCGAAAAATTCTATTTAATAAATTCTAGTAATGGCTTTCCTACCAGTATCAGATCTCTAACATTTACATTAAAAAAAGGTGACATAGACCAAGCAAAATTTTGTTTGTATGTATAATTTTCTGAGGAGAGGGTACATAGTTTTCATTAGAGTCTTAAAAGATTTCTGTCTAAAAAAAAGTTAAGCATAGAACCAAGAAAAAGAACTTAGAAGTCACAAGTGGTCTGTGACCATGAAAAACAACTAAATGAACATTAAGTACAAAGATCATGTTTATTCCCAGAGAACTTCTACAAATTTCCGAATACACTTTCACCAAACTTCTAATATTGTCCTCCTAGTCCTTTAGTCTCCCACCAGGAGGTCAGGGTAGGAGGAAAGGAGCCTGCCCGCCTTCCTACCGAGCAAAAGACAACCGTCAAAGAGGCGGACTGCACAACTTCTTCATGGTCAAGTTTGAGAGTCAGTCAAACCCACACTTAAAATACAGCTCCATTATTTATAAACTATGTGACTTGGAAGTACTTGAACCTCTTTCAATATCAGTTTCTTCAAGTATCTCCTCCTTGTTACACTCCTGATTTGGGAAGATAACTCTCCAAGGTGCTTAGTAGAGAAAAGTGAGGGATGAAGATTTCTATCATTCTTTTGATGCTTCTGGGAAGGAACTAAAGATTAGGATGGCTGGGCAGGGGAAACGGGACTTATACTGGATGGGTGGACAAGGCTGGCTTTACAAATAATCGAATGGACGGGTCCAACGTAGTGTTCTTGGTGAGGTGCTGGAAAAGCCCATCCAGCCCCCTAAATTTTTCACTGTAACATCCTGTCTGAGATTCCATCCTTAGAAATAATTCCTTTGGATCACTAAGAGCCCCTGGGAGGGACTCAATACTCCCTAGAGGTTTATGCCTCTCTTTATGAACCTCCTCCATCCCCCTAAGGAGTTAGCCAATAAAGCTTCAAGGTGCTAGCCCTCTCACGGGTCCTGTCTCCTTGTCAGAGGAACAAGATTGAGCCACTCACAGTTTCTGCCTTCAAGACTGGGAAGGCCCTGGCAGGGTGGGAGTGAGGTGGGGGAACTGAGAGTTCCTTGTAAGGGACAAAAGACCCCAAGGCGAGGTCCCTAGGACAAAAGGAATACAGTGGAGGCGGCAGAATGGGGCAGAAAGTGAAGGTGGAAAGAGACGGGGGAAGAATGCCAAAAAGAGACCTTTTTTCTTCTGCAAATACGGCCTACTATGTACCGGGAGCTGGGGCGGACCTCACGGGTCGGTCTTGCTTCTTACACAGGAAATTGGCCGGGGGGTGGGGTTGGGGGTGGGGGAGCAGGAGTTCTTTCCAGTTCCAGAGGAGGGGGCTCACTCTCGGGGTGGGCGAAGGTTGGGTGGAGGAGATGGCCTCCTAGGGGGTGGGGCGGGTAGGAAAGGCGAGTCGAGTGAAAACGCTGGGTCTGGGTGTGGGGTGCAGGATTTAGCCTCGGCTTCACCATCGCTGGCCGCCTGTCACTTCTGCAGTTCCTCGCCCACGTGCAAGACACGAGATAAGGAACGGACAGCGCTGGCACAGGGCCTGGCATCTGGCGTCTGGGGCAGAGGCGAGCCTCTGCTGGGGCTCTGGATACCGGAGACGCGCCCTGCTGTGCGCGGGTCCACCGGGTGCCGGGCACGGGGCGTGCACTCTGCACCCTAACGTGCTAACCTGACCCCCAGCCCGCGAGGCAGGGTTCGTCGTTCTCAGCGCAGGAATGGGGAATCCGCACAGCTAAGAAGCCGCGGAGCCGGGCCTGGGACCTCCAGGCGGGGGCTCGATCCCGAGGAGAAGGGGAGGGGGCAGCAGGCGACCCCACGGGCCTCGCCAGGGGCGCGGGGCTCACCCTTGAAGGAGTCGGGGAGCCGCCGGGCCTGAGGATCTGCTGAGTGCCGCTTCTCAGACATGCTGCGCGAACCGGAGTCGCCGCACTCACGAACTGCTCGTCGGAGTCGGAGCCGTGAGGAATGCCCTGAGGGCACCCGAGACCAGAGACCGGGGCTGCGGTCCCGCCCCCTCCCCGCGCCTGGCCAATCAACGCCCAGTATAGAGGAGGACACGCTCCCTGCCCCGCCCGTCGGCCTGCCCCTCCCCCGGCGCCGCTGCTTCGTGGGCGTTTCCCGCTCAGTCCAGGGGCTGAGGGGCGTGACCTGAGGGGCAAGGCACTTCTGAGGCGGGGGTCCGGATGAAGCCGCAGCGCCGGAAGGGAGGAGTGGAGGCCGCAGGGCGTGGGCCTGGGGCCGAAGATACTGGGGAGGGGGCTGAGGGAAAGGCGCGAGTAACAAAACGGCGTCCTTCTGGGCAGAGGAATTAGAGAGAAGAAAATGGCGCCCTCCCTGGGTGGGGTGGGCCCGAGTTGAGGGGAGGAGGCGGAGGGGCACCGGGTGGACAAGGTGAGGGCGCAGAGGCTGAGCCGCCAGAACCAATGGTGTGAGGGGAAGGGGCCGACTCGACCACCTTCGAGCTGAAGGGAGTGAATTCCTGTGACGTGCGTTTGTTCAGACAAAATCCTTGGGAGCACCTGCCGTCTGCCAAGCGGCGTGCTCGTTGTTGGGGTAGGGCGGACAGCGGGCAGACACGGGGCCCGCCCTCGTGGAGTTTACGGTCCGGCTGGAGACGGGCCACGACCAAGTAAACGAACCAGCTGGTTACGCGGGGCGAGGAGCGCGGTGAGGGCAACGAGGGCCTCAAAGAGCAGAGGGCGTCTCCTTTAGTTAGGGCGACGAGGGAACGCCTCGCTAAGGAGGCGGCGTCGAGATGCGACCTGAAAGATGAGAAGGAGCCAGCCTTGGGAAGGGGGCCAGGCGGTGCGGGAGGTTGGAAAGGTATCCCAGGCAGAGGGAAAAGCATATTCAAGGGTATTTCCAACCTCAAGCTTTTCGTTGGGTTGTGGCTGAAACCTCAAATTTAAAAACCATGCGACGTTTTATTCTCCATGACTTGGTCCCTAGGCAAACTGTGCAAACTATGTTAATGTACACAAGAAGGTACACTTTTTAAAACCTATTATTTTGAAATATCGGTTCACAGGAAGTTGCAGAGACAGTACAGAGAAGTTGTGTGTACCCTCTACCCAGTTTCCCCCGAAAGTCACATCTTACGTAACTGTAGTATCACAGCCAGGAAATTGACAGTGGCACAAAATGTGTGTATAGTTCTGTGTCGTTTTATCTCATGTATAGATTCATATAACCACCACGGCAATCAAGATACAGAGCTATTCCTTCACCACAAAGATCTCCCTTGGGAAGAGCACTTTTTCCTTCTTTTTAATATGCTCAATATTTGGCTGTATAACACCCAACACTGCGGTGTTTTGGTAATAGGAAATGGCGACTTTCTGTGATTTTTAGCTCTGGAGGCTTCTGGCTGTCAGGCCCGAAACTGGAGCACACACAGTTGTAACAGGTGTTAAGAGAGAGGCTGATCATCTTGGTTGTGGGGTGCAGACTGTAGTGTGTGATAAAAGCCTGCCGCAGAGCTATCAAGTTGACTTCCAGTCACAGATGGGCAAAGAACTGTTTATATTCCTGTGGGTGGAGTACAGCCTGTGCACTTAGTTTATGTCTCCTGGAGAAGATAAGGAGGGGAGTACAGTAATTCAGTGATCCTTCCTCTTTAAATTATTCTTGAAAATGTGCACAGCTTCATTTTTTCCATTCTGCAATGAATAAGTCCCAGAGGCACGAACTTCCTGTTTATGCTGTGGTTCCCAGGAGAGGAGCAAATGCACAAGCAGCTAGTTAAATGGTAGAGGGCTTGATTACAAATGGCATATCGTGAAAAAGTATTTAGCTTTTATTTTTGTTGGAAAGGAAAAAGATATTTCAAAATGAATTTAATGTTTGTCCTCCTGCCTGCTGCCGTTGCTCAGGGCTCAAGGCAATCCCAACAACATCACTTCTGGAGAATCAGAAAAGAGGCTCCTCCCTTTGGGACAAAGACTTTGGTAAACACTTGTTGGCTCTGGTTTCAGATTGCATCAGTTTGAGAGCTAATTCCAGGCCCAAAACTGAGAACAAGCTTTGACTGGATTTTTAAATGAGTCAGGATGGATAAGTGTTTCCAGATTTTGATTTTATTTTTTTCAATTATTTTATTGAGGTCATATTGGTTTATAACATTGTGAAATTTCAGGTGTGCATTATTATTTATCAGATTCTGAATAGACTGCATTGTGCTCGCCCCCAATAGTCTAAATAAAAATTAGATGGGTAAAAACCTCTTGCCATATATATGCACCCCTTTGCCCACCCTCCAACCCCTTTCCCTCTGGTAACCACTAATCTGTTCTCTTTATCCATATGTGTATCTTCCACATATGAGTGAACTCATACAGTGTTTGTCTTTCTCTGTCTGGCTTATTTCGCTTAACATAGTACCCTCAAGGTCCATCCATGTTGTTGCAAATGGGAGGATTTTCTCTTTTTTATGGCTGAGTAGTATTCCATTGTATATGTATACCACATCTTTATCCATTCATCTGGTGATGAGTACTTGGGTTGCTTCCACACCTTGGCTATTGTGAATAATGCTGCAGTGAACATAGGGGTGCATAAATATCTTTGAATTGTTGATTTCAAGTTCTTTGGATAGATACACAGTAGTGGGATAGCTGGATCATATAGTATTTCTATTTTTAATTGTTTGAGAAGTCTGCATACGGTTTTCCATAGTGGCTGCACCAGTTTGTATTCCCACCAGCAGTGTATGAGGGTTCCCTTTCCTCCACATCCTCTCCAACATTTATTTCTTGTCTTTTTTTTTTTCTTCCCCAAAGCCCCAGTAGATAGTTGTATGTCATAGTTGCATGTCCTTCTAGTTGCTGTATGTGGGACGCAGCCTCAGCATGGCTGGACAAGCGGTGCGTCAGTGCGTGCCTGGGGTCCGAACCCGGGCTGCCTGTAGCAGAGCTCGAGCACTTAACTGCTAAGCCACCGGGCTGGCCCTATTTCTTGTCTTGTTAGTTATAGCCACTCTGATGGGTGTAAGGTGATATCTCATTGTAGTTTTGATTTGCATTTCCCTGATAGTTAGTGATTTTGAACATCTTTTCATGTGTTGGCCATCTGTATATCTTCTTTGAAAAAATGTCTGTTCATATCCTCTGTCCATTTTTTGATCAGGTTGTTTTTTCGTTGTTGAGTTGTTTATATATTTTGGAAATTAACCCCTTGTCAGATATATTATTTGCAAATATTTTCTCCCAGTTGTTGGGTTGTCTTTTTGTTTTGTCCGTGGTTTACTTTGCCTTGTGGAAACTTTCAGATTTTGATTTATAGTGCTGAATTTTACTTGCCCATGAAACTGGTGTATTCTGGCTTTCTCATGCATATTCTGTATAAGTGTATTGATTAAATATCTTTTAAAATAAATATTAGCATATCATCTTCTCCCTTTGGGGGAATTTCTAATTGTAAATTTTCTTCTAGTAACGATTAAAAGTTAAAATAGTTTTTGAGAACTTTATGCTTTAAAAATGAAGACTTATTATATAAAATTACAAATAATTTGAATAGGGAGCATTACTTATAATGTTATCACCTCTAACAGAACTGTTATAATTTCAGTGAATTTTTCCTCTAGCTGTTATTTAAAGAATATTTGCATATAGTTAAAATCAGAGTATATGTTCTATATTTCTTTTGTGTTTTATTTTGCTGTTATTTCCCTAGCATATTCAGGGTACCAAATTACATATTGATTGATGGTGATATGATAGTGATGACATTAAGACGTGGAGATCGGTTTAAAGACGGACATGCACCATGAATCCATAACTGAATAAGTCAGAAGGAAATTTAATTAGTCTTTTTCTTGTGTCCACACAAGAAATGCTTTAATAAGAACAACAGGAAAGTCCTTATTTATTTGTTTCCTTTAAATTGCGAATCCAGGCTATTGTCAATGCCCTTAGTGAAATAAGCTAACCAGATACTTTTGAGGGAGCAGCAATACCAGCAAGTTACTACTATTTGTGACATTTTCCCCAGGACTGGGCTAACAAGTTTGATCTGTTTCTCCATGTGGACTAATTCACATTTATTGTATTACCGCAGTGTTTTTGTCTGCTCAACTCTTCTCTTCTCCAGGAAATTACTCCAGGAATTGAGTCATAACAAGAGTTTCACCAGAGGATTTTATCCATTTGGGCTGTGGCAGCAGACCAGTTACGTCATGGCACTTGGTAAGAACATGGGGAGTCCAGGTTCTCGGGTCTTATGAAAATAAAAAGCATTCCTGTAACATTGGTGGTATTTAATAGAGTCATCTATGGGAAGAATCTTATTAATCTACTTTATTTATTAGTTGGCTCAGCAGATATTTATTGAACACCTGTTATATGCCAGGCATTGTTCTAGGTGCTTGGGATACATCAATGAACAAAAAAGACAAGAATTCCTGCCCTCATGGAGGTGACATTCTAGTATTCCTTTCCACATGTATTAGTTTGCTAGGGCTTCCATAACAAAGTACAGCAGACTGGATGGTTTAAACAATACAAGTTTATTTTTCTTACAGTTCTGGAGGCAAGAAGTCCAGGATCAAGGTTCAGCAGAGTTGGCTTCCTCTAAGGAGCCTGAAGGAAGGATCTTTTCCGGGCCTCTCTCCTTGACTTGTAGATGGCTCTCTTCCTCCTGTGTGTTCACATTGTCTTCTCTCTGTATGTGTCTGTGTCCAAATTCCTCTTCTTATAAGGACCAGTCATATTGGATTAGGGCCTACCCTAATGACCTCATTTTAACTTAATTACCTCTTTAAAGACCCTATCTCAAAATACAGTCATATTCTGAGGTACTGGGGAGTTAGGATTTCAACACATGAGTTTTGGGGGGATACAATTCGGCCCATAATACCTCATATAACTATGGTGTATCCAAATCTTTGTCTTGTCTGTTTTCTCATATCCACATCTCTGCGATATTCAAAGCCATTTATGTTTCCTTGCAAAA